TTTTGAGATGGAGTTTGGCTCTGTCGTTCAGGCTGGAGTGCAGTGGAACAATCTCGGCTCACTGTAACCTCCCCCTCCTGGGTTCAAGCAATTCTCCTGCCTCAGCCTCCCGAATAGCTGGGATTATAGGCACTTGCCACCACACCTGGCTAATTTTTGTATATTTAGTAGAGACGAAGTTTCACCATGTTGGTCAGGCTGGTCTTGAACTCCTGACCTTGTGATCTGCCCACCTCAGTCTCTCAAAGTGCTGGGATTGCAGACGTGAGCCAATGTGCCTGGGGTGTTTTTTTTTTAGGTAGTCTTGCTCTGTTGCCCAGGATGGAGTGCAGTGATGTGATCACAGCTCACTGCAGCGTTGACATTCTGGGCTTAAAGAGTGATCATCCCACCTCAGCCCCCCTAGCAGCTGGGACAACAGGCACGCCACTATACCTAGCTAGTTTTGTACTTTTTGTAGAAACAGGGTCTTGCCATGTTGCCCAGGCTGGTCTCAAACTCCTGAGCTCAGTAATCCACTTGCCTCGGCCTTCTGAAGTGCTCGGATTACAGGCATAAGCCACTGTACCCAGCTTATTTAGTCTTCTATTAATTGTTCTAAAACATTTATGTTGTTTTCATTTGGTTTTTAAAGCTTTGCTGAATATACGCTTTGAGCTCTTGTGTGATTATTTCCCGAGGATATATTTTTGAAAGCGGCAAATTTCTGGGTCAAGAGTATGCTCATTTAAAATTGTGATTTGTTGCCAAATTAATAGGCCAGACCTTTAAATCAAAGAGGCCATGTAAGTCTAGATGCAATATAAAACAAGGAAATTATAAGTGATGTCTATCATTTATTAAGCACTTCTCGTGTGTCAGGGAGTAAACGTTAGTGCTTTATGTACACTATTTTATTTAATCATGGAAACAATTCTGCTTAATGGAAGATAATACCAAGGCTTTTGTTATGTGACTGTCCCAAGTCATGCAGCAAATATAAGTGGTAGACCGGGAATTTATATGCAGGTTCCCTGACTCCAGTGGTAAAGGCATTAAAAAGGAAGACGCTATCTGTGGAATGTTTTTCTTAGTTTTGGCAGTTCAGGATCAGGCATGATGTTTTTTGAGATGCCCAGGCTGGAGTACAGTGACATGATCACAGCTCACTGCAGCCTTGACCTCCCAGGTTCAGGTAATTCTCCCACCTCAGTGTCCCAGGTAGCTGGGACTGCAGGTATGCACCACCATGCCCAGCTAATTTTTTTTTGTTTTTTTTCGAGACAGAGTCTCACTCTGTCACCCAGGCTGGAGTACAGTCTTGCAATCTCGGCTTGCTGCAACCTCCACCTCCTGGGTTCAAGCCATTCTCATGCAACCTCCACTTCCTGAGTTCAAAAGATTTTCATGCCTTGGCCTCTCGAGTAGCTGGAATTACAGACGTGTACCACTATACCCAGCTAATTTTTGTGTTTTTAGTAGACACAGGGTTTCACCATGTCAGCCAGGCTGGCCTCAAACTCCCGACCTCAAGTGGTCTGCGCACCTCAGCCTCCCGAAGTATTGGGATGACAGGTGTTAGCCACCAAACCCAGCCACAGTTTTTATATTTTTGTGGAGACAAGTTTTGCCATATTCCCCAGGCTAGTTTCAAATTCCTGGGCTCTAGTGATCCGCCTGCCTCAGCCTCCCAAAGTGCTAGGATTATAGGCATGAGCTCCTGGGCCCAACTCAGTCATGATATTAATAGTGAATACTCATAATAACACTAAAAATAGTTCCTGGTAGATAGGAAATGCTTTATATACTTTATTTCGTTTAATCCTTATCACAACCAATGACATAGGTACTATTATTAACTCCATTTTATAAATAAGAAAATGTAAGCATAGAAAAGTTTAGGCCAGGCACGGTGGCTCATGCCTGTAATTCCAGCATTTTGGGAGGCCAAGGTGGAGAGGATTACTTGAGTCCAGGAGTTTGAGACCAGCCTGGGCAACATGGTGAAACTCCATCTCTACAATTTTTTTTTTTTTGATTGACCAGGTGCAGTGGTGCACAACTGTGGTCTTAGCTACTCAGGAGGCCGAGGAAGGAAAATTGCTTCAGCCTAGGAGGCCGAGGCTGCAGTGAATGGTGTTCGCACCATTGCACTGCAGCCTGGGCTATAGAACAAGACCTTGTCTCTAAGAAGAAAACAGAAAAGTAATTTGTTCAAGGTTATATAGCTGATGAGTGATTGAGCTAGGATTTGAACACAGGTAGCCGAAATCTAAAGTCATGGCCTTAACAACTCTGTCTTGCTGCCTGGATGAATATTGATTTGGGGAAGGAACAATTCTGCCAGTTAATCCTTCCCACTATTTATGTTTTCCATTGTTGTATGCTTAAACATTCGTTCCTTCCCTGAGCCCTTCGGTAGTGGCTCTCTCTCTTTTTTTTTTTTTTTGAAACAGAGTCTTGCTCTGTCACCCAGGCTGGAGTTCATTGATGTGATCTTAGCTCACTGCAGCCTCCGCCTCCCAGGTTCAAGCAATTCTTCTTCCTCGGCTTCCTGAGTTTCTGGAACTATGGGCATGTACTGCCATGCCCAGCTAATTTTCGTAGTTTTTAGTAGAAACAGGGTTTCACCATGTTGGCCAGGATAGTCTTGATCTCCTGACCTCATGATCCGCTCGCCTCAGCCTCCCAGAGTGCTGGGATTACAGGCATGAGCCACCATGCCCGGCCATGGTTCTCAATTTGAATGTGCATAGGAATATCTTAGTACTTGTTAAAAATGTAGATTTCAGGCCACACTTCTACTAATTTGATAGGGCTGGTATGGGTCCTGGGAATCTGCATTAAAAAAAATATTTTTAAAATAATAACTTATCCAAGTCACCTGGCACCAAAGTATGTTATTTGTTCAGGTCTGCAGCAGTCCCAGTTCTTGCCTCCTCAGAAGACGAAGGAAAGACTGAGGCAAGTTTTAGAGCAGGAGTGAAAGTTTATTAAAAAGCTTTAGAGCAGGAAGGAAAGGAAGAAAAGTACACTTGGAAGAAGGCTAAGCAGGTGACTTGAAAGACAGGTGTGCTGGGAATCTGCATTTTAACAAACATCTAGATCAGTATTTCTTAATTCTTTGACCATGACCCACAGTAAGAAATAGATTTTATTTTTCAGCTCAATACATCCACATGCACATACACCACACCCTTATACAACAACAATACCCTATGTATTAGTCCGTTTTCACTCTGCTTATTAAGACATACCCGAGACTGGGAAGAAAAAGAGGTTTAATTAGACTTACAGTTCCACATCGCTGGGGAGGCCTCAGAATCATGGCAGGAGACCAAAGGCACTTCTTACATGGCAGTGGCAAGAGAAAATACTAAGGATGGTTTTATCAGGGGTTTCCGCTTTTGCATCCTTCTCATTTTCTCTAAAACCGCAGCACGTGCTGTAGTTCCAGATAGGAGGCTGAGTATTCACTTATT